AAATGTATATGTGATGGTATGAATTAAATCATATAAGCTTACCCTGTGTATTTTTCCTTGTGTTGTCTACTGTCTATGTACGTTCGTCCTGTCTTGCAATGATCATCCGTGTGGATGTGAGCAGAAGGCGAGGCCACTCTGGAAGACGTTATTGAAGAAGAGAATCTGGTCGAGGTGGAAGTAAAAGCCGAGCCTTAGAACGCTCGTTATAATAGGATTGTAAATGTTAGTTTTCATTTTGACGTTCGGTTAAATATTTTGTAAAACCGTTCGTTCTAGACTTTCCTTATTTCCGTTTCGTAAATGGTATTTTCTGTATATAAGCCGTTCGGCTTTGGAACCTTAATCCAGTTTTGTAAAGACTGCACTGTTTTACTGTTTTAATGTAATTAATTCTGATTATGGTAATTACTGTATTTTGGGATGTTACAGCTATGCTTTTCAGTGTCTGAAGTCATCCATTTGAGGATCATTTCTTTTTCATCATCTCTTCCATAAATAATATTTTCAACCACCAAAGATGTTGATGGCAATTTCTGTGACACATTACTATTCAACCCTAACCCAACCCCTACCCCGCTAGCATTTTTCAAACCTAGATCATCCATTTGGTTTAGTAGACATTCTAGGTCATCAAGGACTTCTTTAATCCTAGATATAAAAATACATACCTGACTAGAACTGCTATGGGATTCAACTTCCAACCCATATCTGGAGAATTCATAGTATATTTCATCCATCAAATCCTCTGTATCAAGCAACACGTCTCTTACCTCATCAAGCCATGCTTTCACATAGGCATTTCTGAACTGCTTTTTTTCTGCATCATCAACCCCGGCATTAATGGATACCAGTTTCCTCTTCAACTTCTTCAGGAGCTTCTCGTCGAACTTTCTTCTACGAAAGTAGTCCAGAACTTGACGAGAATCAAGCTTGTCAAACAGCACCTGAAGGACAGCACCAAAAAGAGCACCACCAATGTTTCTATCACTGGCATGGTTGGAAAGGAAGTGCCCGAATCAAATAGACGAAAGGATTCCGAATTGCAAGTGCAACTTACTGAAGTGAGTGAATGCTACGAGTTAATGCAGGCAGAGAACAGTTGACATTCATCATTCACGACAGCACAACGTGGGTTCAGACATTAAATTTTGCTGTCCTTGCTTCATTTACATTAATGTAATTTCTACAGGCAACTTTAAAGCATTTAGTCAATTTTAGTAGCTAACTTAACAAAAAATCCTCACGTTATTTTGAGCCATGACAAGTTCCAGACATACTCGTAATTTTAATATTTTTTTTTTTTAAACTCTCGTTTGGTCCTCATATTTGTGTGTCAGTCTCAAATGGGTCATCGTGTTTTTTTGGTCTTAATTGGGTTCTTAAACTTGTTAAAATGAGTCAATTAAGCCATCTCCGTTAATTTATTAGTAATGTCGTTTGCCTGTGATTACGTGGTGCACAGATTATGAGCTCAGTTTAAATTATTTAAATACGTAGATAATAGTTTTATGAAAAAAAACTATATATGTGACAGGGAACAGAGGGAAGTAGTGATTTTGATTGGGTTTTTTTAACTTAAATAGAAAATTTGAAATGGGAATAAGGGATTTCATGAGTTAGAGATTTTGCTGTGGTGAGTGAGTGTGAGAATTAGGGTTGGTAAGAATTTGCGACGAAGACAATCACGTGGTGGTGGAGGAATGAAATTGAGTCATTGGAGCCACCAATTGGGTTGATAACTACAATATCCCTCTATTGTCTTCTGATATTAATGTTGTTCGGAGAATTACCAAACGGGTCAGTGGAAGAGGTGGTGGACTTCCCTCTGTATAGGCCATGACACTTGCCCATGATGAAGGTGTCATTGAGGTAGCCTATAATTTGTTGGATCCAAAAAAAAGTTGGTGGTGAAAGAGTACAAGAAGAAGTTAAGAGCCTAGCAAGAGAAGAAGGTATTTCAGTGGAAAGGGGATACTACACAGACTTCTCACAGGATCAAATAATTTCAAGTTACTTCAAGTTGTTTCAAAACAGAATATGAGGTCATTCAATCCTGATTTTTTGGCATATAAAATTACTCTCACACCAGGAAAACTTGGTTTTTGATGGTCAGTTTTGAGATATTGTGTGGTTTATGTCCATAAAAGAAGAAGAAAAATGTTATGTCTAAAGAACCTAAAAAAAGATAGGTGAGCCTTACCTCACTGATACCTTTTATCTAGTTGAGTACTGGAAATACTCTTTATAATATTACTTTGGTATCTTGAAGTTCTCTTTGTTGCGAAATTGTATGAGAGGTTGAAGGAGAAAACCGTATTGGATTCCAAGGAACACTGCATAAAGGCCATTTTTTTCCACCACCTCCATTTTTTCCAGAACTCTTCCTAACGAAAACGGAGATGTTAAACACTTTTGAAATCAGGGTTGCTCTAAATATTAAGTTTTAGGGCTAACAACATCACACGTGGCAATCTATTCACACAACACAACACCAATCAAATTTAATAAACAATGCCTCGTCAACTAAAACAAATTATAGCTCAGCACAGACAAACGGCGTTACTGATAAATTAACGAAGAGTGCTTAATTGACTCATTTTAACAAGTTTAAGAACCCGATTGAGATCGAAAAAAATATGATGACCCACTTGAGATTGACACACAGATATGAGGACCAAACGAGGGTTTAAACCTTTTTTTGTTTTTTGGAGTTTTGACATTGCTATATTTTTTTAACAACCCTTTTTTTTTCTTTCTTTTTGACATTCCTATACTGTTCCTGATTGAATTTGATTAAATAGCCAATTTCCTTAGGGAAGAAGACTTAACTCTGATAAGAATGCTAATCGGAATTGAGTTCCGTTGTTGGGTTCCCATAATTCCTTTTGCATAACCGTATGAGCCGATAGCAATGGTAATTAGGGTTGGGCAAAAATGATTGATGTGTATTGTACTATAGTTAATTATACTATATTATACTTAAAAAAAACTTATCCACTTTTACTAAAAGTTCAGTATACTATTTTATGGTTTAGTTTTTAAAAACTGAACTTATAACAGTTTCGGTTCAGTTAACTGTGAGAACTGTATCTACTCTCTCTTCTCTAGTTCCCGTTCAATTGTTTCGTCTTGCTAAGAAAACGTTATTTAATAATAAAATATTAATAAAAGAAATCGTTCACATAAAAAATTAGTAATGAATTTTTTAACACAAAATTTTTTATCACAAATTTTTATATTTTTTTATCAATAAACATATATTACTTTTTAAATAATATTATTTTAAGTAATAAAAGTAAAATATATTTAAATGATTAAGTAAGAGAAATCATAAAAAAAAAAGACTATATAAAAAAATAATACTTTAAATATATTATATTCTTTAACATATTATTAAATATGTAAAGATATGTTAAAAAAACTTTTAATGATATTAAAATGTGTGTAAGCGCACACACTAAAATAACTATTTATTTTAAAAATCAACTTACTTTAAAATAAATATCAATATTATTATTTTTAAATGATAGTATTTTACATACTAAAACTAAAATATATTTTTTAACATTAAATTTTATTAAATGACTATAATGAAATATCATAAAAAAATAGTAATATAGCAAAAATAATTAATATTATAGAAATATCAAACGACAAAAAAATTAACAAACGTTTTATAAGAATAACTTTTCTAGTATCATCTTTTATTATATTATAAGAACTAATAAATATTAGTTTAATTTTTACATAATAAAATATAAATAATAAATAATTGATTAATAAAACAATTTTATGAGGCAACAAAATAAATATAAATAAAAAATTATTTGAAATAAAATAAGTAGATAGAAAGATAAAATAAATTATGTACACATATAAAACAAAAAAATATAAATAAAAAATTAAAAAAATAAATATAAAAGTAAAATAATATTCATGACAAAATAAATATAAATAAAAAAATAAAAAATAAAATAAAATAAAATAAATAAATAATAATAAAATAATTTTCATACACATATAATAATAAAAGAAATATAAATAAAATAGAAAATAATAATATCAAATAATTAAAAAGTTAATTTGTAAGACACTTATGAATAAAATAAAATAAATATTAAAATAAATTTCAATTAAAAAGAACATGTATTGTTATACTATTCAGTTTAAAATTAGTACAATTCAGTTTAAAATTAGTACAATTCAATTTAAAATTAGTACAGTTCGGTTTAAAATTAGTACAATTTAGTTTAAAGTTAGTATAGTTAGTAGTTCAGTTTAGTTTATATTGTAGTTTAGTACAATTTAGTATAGTTCAGTTCAGTCCAGTTTGATAAAACAAAAAACAGTTCAGTTCAGTTTGTCTGAACTGTTTAACAGCTCAGTTCAATTTAGACGAATTAGATTTTAGTTCAATACAGATTTTAGTAGTACAATGCAATTCAGTTCTATCTGCGCACCCGTAGATGTAAGATTCCTTCTTCATAATATTTTTCAAAGTAATTATCTATTGAAAGAATAATTTTTCCTTTTTATTTATTTATTGATTTTTTTTATCCTTTATTTTCTTTTTTGAAACTTTTCAAAATTAAAAAAATTTATATATTAAATATAAAAAATTAATAATCATAACTTTAATATTAATAATATAATTATTCTTACAATAACTAAAATATTACTATTAATACTATTTATTATATTTTAAATAATTATTATAGTTTGATAAATAAATACATATTCAATAATATTATAATTAATTTATCAGATAATAATATTACTAAAGTAATAGTTCTTTATATTACTAAAGTAATAGTTCTTTATATTATTTCAGCTTTATTCTAATAGTAATAGTTATAATATAATTATTATATATTATTAATAATATTTTATTATAAAATATTAGTATTCAATATTAATAATAATACTTTTTTATTGCAAGAATAATAATAATATAATATTGATTTCATTATTATAATTACTATACTTAATATGATATTATAAAACATAATAAAAATACTTATTAATCTTACTTAATATTATAAAAATATTATAGTATTAATTATAACTATAACCTACCTTTTAATAGCATAATTCCTCTCCTTTTTCTCATGTCTAACTTCCTTTACATAACTCACACTTCTAGCTTTGGATGATCATTAAACACTTTTAACTAAGTCTTATAAAGACAACATCTTCACTGTTTTAATAAACTCCTTAAAACATCAATTATCAAGTCATAAGTAAAATAATTCTTCTCATGTACCTCACACTGTCAATAAACATATTTTACCATCATTTCAATATACAACTTTGATCCATATACATCCATATTTCTTTGTTTACTCAAAAGAATGATCATTTTGTGTTATTAGTGACAATAAAACGACCATCTAGAAAAACTTCATTCAAAACTTATATAAACTTGATAACCCATTAGAACTTCCTTTCTCATAGATAACATTAACATTATCTTTCCTCAACATTGTTTTCACTCATTAGAACCAATTTTCCCTTAGCCAAAATTTACACTTGAATAGATCAACACACACTTACTTCTCCTTAAGATTTACCAACCTTGCAGATACTATAATGACACACAAGATTATACCATTATCGTCCTAACAACTCCTTCATCTATTTATTCAACTCCACTTTCTCAATAGAAATTATCTAATAAGGAACTATTGACGTTGGTTTTGCTTCAAATACCAATGCAATAGTGAACCTCACCACTTCTAGGTGGTAGTCCTAGTATCTGTTTCGAAACACATCTAAAAAGTCTTTCACCATTGTGATCCCTTGTGTTTATTTTTCTTTGGCCTTTACTAGACAACACTCATCCACATTTCCTTTTAGCTTGATTTACACTCGATGTGCAACCACTGACTTAGCCTTTCGAACAAGGACAACACTTCTTTGGTACCACAATATGCCAAAATGAGATTGGGAGGAAACCATTTCATTCATGAGATTATGTCCCAAACTTTCAAAGGA